TGTGGGAGCTCTAATAAAATAGTGGCCAAATTCAGTGCTTGAAAATTTTTTAAAGAATTATTTACTTTATTTGTTTATTGTTATTATTATTATTATTTCACATGAGTTTGGTTAGAGAAAGACAAGTTGCCAGGAGGGGGGGGGAAAGCAAGCCACCAGGCTGGGACTCGAACGTGGTCAGCCATGTGGGAATTCCAGCACCTTAACCACCACACCAGCTGCTGGCCCCCAGTGCTTGAGATTTAAACTCACACGTACTCAGACTTTCAGGGTCTGCCATGACCTCTTCGGGAATTGTTGAACGACGTCCCGATTCTGGCATCCTTGAGTCCTAGGTGGTGGTGGGCGAGGTGTGTGTCCCCATGGGCCAGTTTGTCGAGCGCTTGCTTCCTGGCCTGCCGAGTCTGGCGTCCGACCCTGCACCCAATGTGAGGTCCTGCTCGCCAAGGCGCCGAGGCAGTCGCTGTTGGAAAAGCACATGGAGCACCGCCCAATCTGACACAGTTTTAGTAAACACCTTGGCTGCGAAAGATGGCCAGCTTCCTCTGGGAGTCAGCGCGGTGCTGACAGTGCACCGCAGATTGATGACGAATAGAGGCCGCTTCCACACGCAGTATTGCCATCTATGAAATGCTAAGGCCACGGTTGTAATTCAGTCTCTACATTGAATAAACATGCTAAAATGTAAACTATTACAGAACCTTCTAGAAATAAGCAAAGCTTTGGTAAATGTTGAGCGATGACATAAACGACTACGAGGCGTGGTAAACTGAAGCCTTAACTATTAAGTTTAAGGGTACCGCGTTGTAGGCAGTCAGGACCCATTCAGTTACACTTTCAATCTGAACAGGGTTCGTACCAGCTTTGCATCTGGGGCAGCTTATTCCTGTCGATACCCCTGGAGGGAGGCGCCATAGGCTCTGCCCTGAACATGCGTTTCTTGCCACTCAGCCTGTCCCACCCGATCGGCACCCTGCTCCTCCTCCTGTATTCCACACGGGATGACCCATTAATTTGTGTTTAGGGGAAAAGGGTATTTAAAGTGTTTTAGTTATTTTAATTTAAAAAATAAATGTAACTAGTGAGAGTACATTGTTAAAATTTGAGAAATGACTTTTCGATGAAGGCAGTTGATCATTTGAAAGGATTATGCGTTGCTCTGTGAAGAGTACTTTGTGGCCCTGGCATATGGTTTAAAAAGCCCAGAACTAGGGTATGTTTTAGAACACAGTTCATGGCACACGGGCTTCACACGTGGTTTCTCTCTAGCGTATTTCAGAAATGCCGGTAACCCTCATCTTGAAGTTGTCCAAGAGCCCATCCTAGCTCTGCAGTTGGACCCAGACCAAGATGTCTCCTTTTTCCCACCCTGGAGCCCATGCGCCGGAACATTGTAGCTACTGTGCTAGAGAAACGGGATTAACCGTGCTGCGATGGGTCAGTCTGGCTGCTCTGCACTCGGCACGTCTGTCTCACCAGAACTTATACGCTGCTGAGGGAGGAGAGATCTGGAACTTTCATACCCTGCACTCAAGTGAGCCCTTTCCCGTCTATGGCTCCAAGGGCCTGAAGCCTGGATAGGGGCTTATCCCAGACAAGTGGGCCCACACTGCATTTCCCTGTGCCTCCAAGCCTGACCTGTGACATGCTGAGGCGAGGCTGCAGCCCCCGGTGGCTCACGGGGGATGGCCTCTATGCCATCAGCTTGCCTACTGCGGTTTGCCTTTTCTGTGACAGACTACATTGTTCCAAGCCCTCCCCCCCAGGAAAGTAGTTGACTGGAGGCCTTGTGTCTTCAATAGACTTACGTAGTTGCTTCCCTCATCTTTCCTATAAAATATAGTTTATGGTGTTGTATTTTATTTTTAACTGAAACTATGTACAAATGTAAATAACTCTTGACAGGGAGAACATATGTTAACGTAATATTAGTCTCTTATCAGCGAGCTAAACAAATGCGTCGGTTAAATTTATGCCGCACTTTGCGTTGCTACAAACATAACTCAAGTAGTCAGTTGACTTTTGAAAAATGCAGCAGTTAAAGAAATGTAAGGACTGATTTACGGCACTCTTCCTAATATTGTCCTTTTGTTATAAACTACTTAATGCCTTTTCCTTTAGCACCTCCGCCTCCCTTTCTGCAGGAACTGTCTGTAAAGACATATGTTGACCTTGGAGAGAGGCGTGAGGCTAGGCGTGTTTTCATTCGGTATGGGCATATCGTCACGTTCAGACACTTAGGAGGGAAGCGGATGACTGATAGGCTTGGGTATTGACATTGCGTCTAATGCTTTAGAATTTTAACAAAAAACAGGAAGCTATTGTTCTCATCAGAATTTGTCCACAAATACCAGGGAGTTTAGGGGTTAAATTATGTACTTTTCAAATTGATCTAAATACACAGAAGTTAGATGTTATGCTTTTAAAATTTAGATAAGAGAAAGATGCTCTGGAATTTAAATGGGTTTTTTATTTACTAGAAACTCGAGGTCCTGTAAACCTGTGACTGAGTTCTGCGGACGTGAACACTCATGCTCCTCTTCCCGTTATTTTCCGGGTGTGTTTTCAAAGGTGGGCATTGGGAGGATGGAGGAACAGCCTGGGATTCGTGAGACCCTGCAGCGGGCCGTGCCATTTTCCCTGAGATCTTTCTTTCCCATCTTTTTCTTTTTCTTCAAATAAATTTCTGAGGTTGCATATTGAATTTCCTGGTATATAGGATGTGCCCTTCTCCCACCCCAAATTCCCCAAAATCCCCTATATTGTGTCAAAGAATATAAGGTCCCTCACATGTGTGCGAATTCACTTTGTAACCCAGGGCAGCATTTAGGCAAACTGCACGAGAGACTGAGATAATAAATTGGAGGCTACACGTTCCATTAAAAAATCATTCCATCTTGTATCTAATGCTTGCCTAGAGCAGATAGATGGAGTTACTGTTTTGCCTCAGTAACAAGCAAGTTTTAACTTTTTTTATTACCTAGAAACTGAGATGTCATGTTGTTAAACTCTGTTGATCTAGCAGCAAGTGGAATTATTCATCTGGAATCTTATATTCAGTGCAGAGCTTAGTTTCTCATTAAGGATAAAAGCTTCAGTCTGTGTTGTGATGTGTGGAATTTGCATGGCTGAACCCCAGTGTGCTTGTGGATTGTAGAGGCTGTGACTAATCTGACCTTTACAGTCACAGTCTGTATGTTAAAATTTGTCTGTGACTCATATAAATGCTTTTCCAATGCAAAGGTTGTTTTTATGACTGTAATTTCTCTGCAAACAGTATTTTTAAAGCTTGCATTTCATTCTTTTTGGTAACAACTGACATTTTCCGAAGATTGCTCTGAATGTCCTTGCCCTGATCTGTCCCTCTTCACTCTGGCTCTTGGATGTATTTCTTTTTTTTTTTTTTT